TCTTAAGGCAAAATTTCCCCCTAGACTGCCTGAGACTTGTACTTGCCCTCTAAGCCAGAAATTACTGTTTTCATAACTTGAGAATGTGTGCTTGAGGTGCCACTTACTTACTTACACTTGCTTCAGGGTGGTAAACAGACTGATCAGATTGATCTGAATAATAATAAAAAAAAATAGTTAAGGTTTAAGTCAACATTAAAACAAGTAGTATTTGTGACTTACTAGGTTATGATAGCCCCTGTTCTTACGAGTTTGAGCCATAGTTGTGAAGCATAATTGTACAAAAAGCTGTTAAGGAATAATATCGATCATATATATATATAAAACATTAGAGTTATATTTGGTTTTTCAATTTGCTGTGCATACATATGACAGCTGTAGAGCAGCTTCCAGACTATTTTCTTAATGTAAGAACATGCAAAAAACCTAATACACAGATTCTGGGTTTATGTGTTTATAACAACATGAAAGCATGCAAAGTGGACTGTTTCTTTTCTGTCAAGTTTTGGCATACGTATCTGGGTTGAGATAGGACCAAACAGGGGGTTTACTACCTTTGGAATCAAAAGATTCAGTCTTTCTCCTTTGAGAAAATTTCTCTGTCATGCCAGTAGTCCTCTGATTGTGTTACTTGATGGTATAATGAATGCAGCTTTCATACAACTATCATGGCTTATGTAGTCAGAGCACATTGTTCCTAATAACTTCGGAACTGGGAGGTCCTGGCCCGAAAGTGCTCTAATGCTAATATTTAAGTGTAGAAATAGCTGTACTACTTTAAGGATCTATTTTCCAGTACCATATGTTCTCACATACTTGTGTAAATCTGTTTTCTGCTTTGTCATTTTTCAGTATAAAATACCATGTTCTTATAAAGTGTCCTTTTTTTCTATATTCTCATGTCAGTCCCAGTCAACACACACACAAAAAAATGAATTATTTTCATCAGTTTAATGTTTCTGAAATGCATCAAACAATGTAATGTAACAATATTTAGAGAGGGCCATATGCAAGAGTAACCATGGAAGTGAATGCATACTGACAGCAGATGATAGGCAATTAAACTTAAGAAGCTCCAACCAAAAACACTTAATAGGAACCATAAAATAAAAAATAAGATCCTAATTATCTTTTTTTTCTTTTCCTTTTTATTAATGTTAGGGTAGCTAGATCTTAAAAAGCACTGTGGAAAATATAAGTATGCTGAAATCTGAAACTTGAATTTCTCAATGGAAAATTCAAAAATAGAGGAGGAAGAGTGGGATTAAAAAAAAAAAAATCAAAAAATCTAGTGCAGTGTATTTTATTTGTCAGCAGTCAAAATTAAGTTGCATGATCAGTTGTTATGTAACCAACTCAAAATTTTAACATATTTTAAGCATCCTATGGAAATAATTGATAGAAAGTTTCATGACAAGAATTCTGATTTGCTGTCTGGTTCTACCATTTAAGCCTTTCTGAGATGCTAGTAAAGGAACTAAATGTTCTTTGATAAAAAACTGTGATACTCAAATACCATGCTGTAAATCCTTGATTAGAACACAGTTTGCACATGTAAATTATTGTGTAGATTAGTGTAGTTCTGCTGTATCTCTTGTGCATGTTTCACATATACAAGACATCTACTTTTACTTGGCGTGTTGGAAATGAACCAAAAATTCACTGTGCATTAAAATTAATAATACAGTGAATGTAATTACATGTCATGTTTGAGAGCTGACTCCAGCACTTGAGTAGCTATGGGGTGTAAAATCCTCAAAGGACAGTTTTAATCAGTTTGGTTTGCGTTACCTTAATTTTTGAAGTTGATCTATTTGCATGCTAAAGTTTTCAAAATCATTAAAATGGACCAAGATCATTACAATTTTCTCATTCTCTGTGTTTGAGATAAAAACTATAATATAAATTATCAAGCAAAGTTTGGGAAAGTTAAGTTAAAGCAGGAAGAAAGTGTCTCCTCTGAGATCAGATGTGGGATGTGTCTGATGCCCAAAATGTGCCATATGTACCTGTCATTTGGAAAGGAATGCAATTCACAGGAGCAAAGAAAATGTTGTTTTATGTCATATTGTGCATGACAGTGTCTGGTACCAGATGCTGAAACAGCAAGTTTTGTTTTGTTCTTATACCTAAAAGTTGAAGAGGTACACCTTTTCTTAGTGCTTTGTTTTTTACACCTTAATGAGTTTAGGAGATTATTAGTTTTAGTGTGTCATTTCGGCTACTTCTACAAAAAGGAAAAATTCATACATTCTCTCCTTCATGTAGCTGCCACATGCATCTTTCTGTTAATGTTATTCAGGCTAATCTTTTACTTGTAGCTGGCACTTCCTCATATTCTCCCTTATATATGTACATAAACGCACACGTATTTTTGGATATATATGTAGGTGTGTGTGTCTGTGCCTGTAAATGAGCTCAATTCTGGCTCTGAATCAGTCACCTCAGCATCAGGTTAATTGGAGTAGCACTGCATAGACAAGTTAGAAATAGATTAAAATAGCATTTGCACCATTAATGTAGCTATGTTATTTCTGGGACCTGTGGTGGTGTTTATCGTGCAGGGTAGATAAATCAAAGTGGTTAGATGGCAGGTCAGGTATCCATAATGGTGTTGCTGTGCTCCATACCCTGTGATTCAATTCTAAAAGTCTTTCTTTTAAACCAAAGTTTAGTAGTTAGAGAAGGGAACAATATAACTCTATTTCATCTATAATGGAAGGTTTTTTATAGGGGAGCAGGGTGACCCAAGTTAATATCTGATTCCTTATGCTGACACAAATCAGAATTAGCTGGTACAAGGCTTGGTAAAGGAAGGCAGTATTACAGCAAACGTAGAAATCCCACAAGTCTGAATTGTGACTTTTAGTCTTGGCTCAGGACACGATTTTCGTCTAGTTGTTGTGATAGGACACTTTTGAACATATATTTCCAAATATGTCATTAAAAAAAAATCTTTTCCCCAGTTCCCTATTGAATTATCAGTGGGGAAAATAAAACCCATTACACAAGAGAAAAGCGCAATACACGGTTTATAAAAATGTCAGTTCATAATATATGCAAGTGTATGTATAGATTGCACCTAAGTCTTTCATGGATTGAACCAGTCTCAAGAGAGACTTCAGCAAAGAATGAATAAACAAATTCTTAGATGCCTGCTGTTGTACAGGCATTGATAGTTGTTCACATAATGACATGTTTCAATATTACTCTAAAATATAAATAGGAGTTTCGCAACGTTGTTCAATTTAATGAAGTGTGCTGAAGGCTATGTCACCAAATATTATAGATTGCTACATGATAAAGGAAAAGTAAGCTGAACTAGAATTTATTTTCCTGAGCATCACCGTGAAGCTCTGCTGACTTATGTATGAGCTCATCAGATTGTAGCTTAAGTGAGTTTGTAGCTTAGTCAGTTACTGGTAGACCTGGAAAATGATCTTTATTTGGAAGCAGTACCTGTTGACATGGGCAGTGGAAGTGTCCTGGTTTAAGCCCAGCTGGTAACTCAGAACCACCCAGCCACTCGCTTACTGCTTCCCTTGTTCCTTCCCCCACTCCCGAAGGGATGGGGAGGAGGATCGAAAGAAGGTAACTCCCACGGGCTGAGATAAGAACAGTCCAGTACCTAAGGTATAACACAAACCACTACTGCTACCACCAACAATAATAATGATACGGCAAATAACAAGGGAAGAGAATACAAACGCTCACCACCCTCTGACCGATACCCAGCCCAACCAGGTAACTGCCCCCAGTTTATATAGTGGGCATGACGTGCTGTGGTATGGAATAACTCCTTGGTTGGTTTGGGTCAGGTGTCCTGTCTCTGCTTCCTCACAGCTTCCCCTCTTCCCTGGCAGAGCATGAGACTCAGAAAGTCCTTGGTCAGAGTAAGCATTACTGAGCAGCAACTAAAAAACATCGGTGTTATCAGCGCTGTTTGCAGGCTGAAAGTCAAAACCACAGCACTGCACCAGCTACTAAGAAGGAGAAAAATGACTGCTACTGCTGAACCCAGGGCAGGAAGATATTCTGTTGCCTAGGGAAGCATACATCCAGTTCTTTTCCTGTTTTTGTCATCCTCCACACCCTGTTATTTCTCTTGTCTTAGCTTCTCTCAAACACATGAAATGGAAAAGCAGAGTTCTGGAAGGAGTTCTCTGCTTGCACCAAGAACACCTTTTCTTTATCTTCTCCAGCAGCTTAATAGTGAAGGTGACTACGACTCCTTACTGCACATCTCTGTTTTCTGCTTCTGCTGCTTAAAGGCAGTACTAACTAGCAGTACTGTACACCTCTCAGTCAGTCTGCTACTAATCTGATGATCTTTGTGCTACACATGCTCTTTTTGGTCTTGCGTGTTTTCTCTAACTTTGCTGAGCGTGGGAAAAGAAACCATCTTTTCCGTTCCTGACTGGCTGTACAGCTAGCTGCCTGTTTGCAGTTAAGTGTGCATGAATGCGGGTTTGTAAAGCTACAGTCAATCAAATAAGCTCTCAGGACACTCTTGAATCACCTTCTCTGTGAATCCCATTTGCCCTTTTCATGCTTCAGCGAAGGAAAGTGAGTTAGATGTTTCTGTGTTATCTGCCTAAATTGCATCTCTGACCCCTTTTGGTAGGGCTTTTGTTATTATTGCTTTAATGGACATAGAAATGAAAGTCCATAAGGCTGTCATGGGTGCCGTACAGCCTCATTTACAGTAAGATGTGCAAATATGTGTGCTAGAAGTGCTTGTAGTAGTTTGCAAATGATGTCTTCTTATATATATATATATATAATTTCATAGTTGCTTTATACATCATGTATTTATTTCTAAATACCTGAATTGTGTTTTGAAGACATAACAAGGTAATGAAAGTCACTTTTCTGAATTAAAGGAAGCTGTGGAACATATCTTTATATTATGATGTTTGCTTTCTTTTTTAGCATAGCTTGAAAGTTCTATTTAGCACCCAGGAGAAAAACATTAAACAGCTCTGCCTTTTGTTTTTCAGTGTGCAGTGACCTGGAATTCAGGGAGGTTGCAAACAGATTGAGAGACTGGTTTAAGGCACTTCATGAAAGTGGAGTTCAGAATAAGAAGACTAGGATTGTTCAAAGGCCTGAAAGAACCAGTAAGAGATTTCTACTTGTCTTATTTGATGTTCTCTTAGATACTTTTCTGTCATTTGTATTTCCATTGCTAAGACTTGCCTTGTTCTCATATGCTTTAAGTAGGTATGCGTATTAAAACCATAACTTTGCATTTTTCTAGAGTTATTTTCTTATTTATGGCTTAGTACCAATATAAGATGTTCACTTTAAACTTTCAACATTGTTTGTCAGGACTCTTGCTTTTAAGAATGATGGGCAGCTACCATTCACAATCCTTTCATTTGTTAATACTGTCAAATTGTCTATTTGATAGAGCTTGACAATTAACAATTGAATAATGAGATAGAACAAACAAGTAGGGATTTTGAGCAACTTTTCCATAAAGAAAAGTGATTTACTAAGTGGCAAGTCCTAAGAAATAAGATACAAGAGCTGTAATTATGTGTGACCTATCATTGCTAGTTGATGCCACTGTAGTTACTGCAACAGAAAAACACATAGAAAAGAAGCTTGTAAGTAAAAAGGAATTCTTATGGGAATACTTCAGAGAGGAAAAAACTCAGGAGTACTAATAAAATGGAAACAGTAGGGTGCATCATTTGGTTTTAACCCCCTCAGATAATAAATTTTTTTTTGTTGTTGTTATGAATAGTAGTAGTTTTAAAATGCAGTTGTCAAAGGGCTTATTTAAAAAGCAGTTGAAGTGTGCAATAATAGTTTCAAGAGTGGTGTCCTGCTGTGAAGGAGAGTCAAATTAGATTTCATAAGCCATAAAAATCTACCTTTCATTAATATGAGGAGAAAACTATAAATTTCCCCAGAGCATTTTTCATAGAACTTGGCCAGCGGCTGCTTACCTTGGTTCCTTCATTATTGGCTCATTAGGTATTTGGAGGTTTGTTTTGTCAAGGGTTTTTAGCTTTTGCTTGATTGCTGTTTGTAGCATTACTTTGTCTTTTTTTGAAGAAATCCATCTATTTTATTTCATTGGAAATGTCATTTCATTGTGTGATTTTTCATGATAAGGAGGCAAGTAATTCTGCAAAACACAGTGACTTAAAGTTGATTATGTGTTATCTAGGAATACTCAACACTGAGAAAAATGTTTTAAAGGTAAGGCGGTAATACACTAATGTCATTTTTTATTGTTACTGAAGGAAACACATACGAAAACATGTATTTATAATTTGCATTCTGGTTGGGGTCCAAAACTGGCATGTGATATACTTCTCATCCAGGAATGAAAACAGCAGAAATACAAAGTTTGCAGCTCTTAAGTAAGCATTTATTGTATTGCATAGCTAAAATCTAATCTATCTAATAATATAGCTAGTGTTGACACATTGCTCAGTTAAAGGTTAGATGAAACACTGCACAGGGCTCTGTTCCTTGCTGAATACTCACTTTGTTGAGGGTAACACACTGCATAGGTAAGGACGAAAACACAGCACAGCTGTTTAAAAGCTTGTTAGTACAGCAAAAGTTCAGAAAGTAATTTTAAGAATAGTCTTTTCAGGGCCTTTTTCATCAACAGGTAAGGAAATATAATCTGTGTGGAAAAGTCTGTTTTCATTCTGTTACTAACTTTAATTTCTCTGTGAACATGGTGCTGTCAGAAATGTTTGACTTGCACTTGTAACAGTGTAGCAGAAATTAATCCTAAACAGTTTCAGTGTTGTACAAAATATTATTTGATTACTGTGCTGGTTTTAATTTAAATTTTCTGTTTCAAAGAGGTATAGCTCATCAACCTTAAAATAGGGGTAGCGTTGTTACAAGAATGATGAAAAGTTTGCTATTTGTCATAGGAGAGCTAGGATGTAAATATGGAAGTTAGATGATAGGCTTTGGCATGTTTGTTTTCTTTTCACTAAAACAAACCAAATCAAATTATAGAAAGTATTTACATGGGAGTCATTCAGTTTGTCTTATCTTTTCTATTTCTCTTTAAAGAAGTGTTTTGGCAAAACCCACAGTTTCATAAAAAATTTGGAAAATAACTGTTTAGTATCTAGTGTTTTAGTCCTGTGCTCAGTTACTCAAATAGCATATATTTAATTGGGGGGGGGGGGGGGGGGGCAAGCTTTCAAATATAATAGATCCTATTTGCACTATATTTACTTGATTTTATAAATAGCCAATATTCACTTGATTTGAATTTACAGGTTACTGCAAAAAGGCAGTCCATCTACAGACAAAGTTATCGAATGAGTATGTATATGATCAGTAGTAGTTTTCTTTTTGTGAAATTGGGGTTACAAAATTGTTTAAAAAGTTGTTTTTATGCAACTGTACTTTTTTTTTCTCGTATGTACATTTGTGAACTTCAAGATTTCTCACTTGAGGCAGCAGAAGGTACTGCGTCTTATGAGAAATTGACATGTCTGTAATTTAGAAGAAAATACTAGGTCACTATGTCCCTGTAAACACACAAAGAAACTAAAATAATGATAACTATTTAACATGGTAATGTCCTTCTTAATATCACTAGGAAATTCATAAAACTGTTCTTCATAAAACTAAGCTCCTGAGTAGCATCCCTAATGAAGTCCCTCAGAGTCAGCCTCCAAAGTCATAGTAGGTCCAGGACATCAGGTGCATTAATTTTTAAGTATACCAGAGAGTCCAGCCCCTGTTTTGGGTATGCCTGATAGCTACACTTAGAAATAAATCTTGCAAAGGACTTCTTAATGATGTATAACAACCTTATACTTAGCACATGGGACTTAGTGATCTGTACAGAGCAACACCTATGACAAAAAGCCACCTGAATTCAACTTCCCCTTTCAGAGTTCTAATGTTCATTACCTTTGGGTAGTTAAAAATCTCTTTTGGCACCCTTTCCCCCAGGCTATCCTTTAGTCATAGAGTTCCTTCTGCATTTGAAAACCATTCTGCATTGAAAAAAGCAATTTGTGTCATTCCTTCTGGTTGTCTGTATGCATTTAGGACTTTTCATATCTCAGTCTCACTTGGGACAGCATTTATTAGAAGGCTTGGGCACAGTCCTGATCAAGGTATATGTGATGCAAGTTTATAGTGCCTTGCTGGTGCTTTTCAGAGTTGTCTCAGGTATTAAATAGTCCACATTGATCTGTACAATCATTGATGCTATTTCTAAACAAACCAAAGAATAGTGTTTAAGTTGTTCTGCTACAGCCATCAATACACTGACAACAAGTTAAAATGTAAGGTGTTTTTTACAAGAGTTACAAAATTTTGTCTGACACTTATTTTTTTTTCCAAAACTGAATCTTATTAGTAATATAGACTAGAATATTTCAAATGATTTAATAGGGTTTTATTTCTGAAATCCCATTTGTGTCCAGAGGTATTTGGATTACATATATCTAGGAGTATCATTATTATAAATACTAATATAAACACACAAGTCTCGTCCTCAGGCCATGTATGTTCTAAATAGAAGAATCAAAGGGGGAAGGGCACTTTACCCCCTCCGTTATAATTCCCCGTAGATGGTGAAACAGAGCATTGAAAAATTGAGATTTTACATACCTAGTTAAAATCTGTTAAAATTTTTGTTCTATTTCTGTATTAATTTTGTGTGATAAAACTAGGGAATTAATGCATCAAATGCAAAGCACAAAAAAATACTGTAGGCCCACAAATATTTATGCTAACAGACAGTCTACTTCTGAGGAATATTTGTGTGCCTTGTTATATTAGAAGATGAAAGACCAGAGGCCAAAGGTAATAGTGAATCTTCTTATGGCTTGGGCATAATATGATTTTTTGGAGTCTAATATACACTAATAATTTTGAAAATAACATAAAATATAAGAAGTCTGAAAGAAAATAACTTGTAATTGCTTTTTCTAGAATGAGCATGGGGAGATATTATTACACTAAATTGCCAAATATCTTACAAATTTGCAGCAGGAAAAGACTAATCTTGTATAGCAATGTGTAAATAAAATTTAAGAATTTCCGATGTTTGCTTGGAGGTTTTTACTTCCTTCTGACTATCTTAAGTCCTTATCAATGAAGAAACACAGCTGACATTATGAAACGAAAAATTAAATTTCCCTGATCTTCATTGCTGAATTATATTTGGAAACCCTAATGTACAGACAGAACTTGTAAACAGAAAAGTAAGACTTTGCTTACTCCTATCAATACCCTCCCACACAGTCATTTTAGAGTTATAAAAGATAAAAAAGAACTGCCATTTTAAATATCATTTTTGATGCTGTGAAAATGTTGGCTGCCTAGAATTCGGCAACTTCCTGAAATTACCTCAGAAAAAGTCCCATAAGCTGTATTGCAAGGTTGCACAGGTTACCAACCTGAACCATAGTTCTAGTTTACTAGAAGTACAAGGTTCTTTCTGCATGTGTCAGGTTAGCATAAGCCCAGGCATCCTTACAGCAAAAGTCCAGGAAAAGAAATCCAGCCTAGAAGTAATTCTGAGCAGGAATTTTAAATTAGTGCATCCTGGCTTAAAATTAAGATTTTGAGTTAACTAAATCAGTATTGTTGGCTGAAGTTTATTTTGACTCAGTGTTTGGTACAGAATTATCCTTGTACCCAATGAAACATGTATAGATGTTTATTGTAGTATTTTATTTTATTTCTCCTTCCTCAGGTCCCTTCTGTTAATAAAACGGTCAGTCTCATGTCCCACAGTATACATTTCATCTGAACTGTTAGGAAACTGGTAGCTTTCAGCAATAAGAATCATCTAACAAAATCCTCTAACACAGTTTCTGGAGGCAGAGAGGTGAGAGACTTCCAAATGCCAACTCTCACAGGTGTTTAAGGGATGTTGTGGCTGTGCTTTTTTTATTTCCTATTGTACTGGGTTCAGCATTTTCAGCTTGGTGTGGCCATAGGCTAGCTAGCCTGGCTAGCTCTGTCAGTAGAGCATGGGACTCTTAATCCCAGGGTCGTGGGTTCAAGCACCACATTGGGCGCCAAAAAGAACTGTTTTTTTTTTAAGCCCAGACGGCAACTCAGCCACGCAGCCGCTCACTCAGTCCTCCCCTTGTTCCTTCCCCTGCTCCTGCAAGGATGGGTGGGAGAATCAAAAGAATGTAACTCCCACGGGCTGAGATAAGAACAGTCCAGTAACTAAGGTATAACACAAACCACTGCTGCTACCACCAATAGTAATAGTGATACGGCAAATAACAGGGGAAGAGAACACAACCGCTCACCACCTGCCAACCGATACCCAGCCTGACCCTAGCAGTGAACTAGCCCTTCCAGGTAACTGCCCCCAGTTTATATAGTGGGCATGACGTGCTGTGGTATGGAATACCTCTTTGGTCAGTTTGGGTCAGGTGTCCTGTCTCTGCTTCCTCCTGGCTTCCCCTTCTCCCTGGCAGAGCATGAGGCTCAGAAAGTCCTTGGTCAGAGTAAACATTACTGAGCAGCAACTAAAAAACGTTGGTGTTATCAGCGCTGTTTGCAGGCTGAAAGTCAAAACTACAGCACTGCACCAGCTACTAAGGGGAAAAATGGCTGCTACTGCTGAACCCAGGATACCCATACACCTTTTGTTGTAAAATGAACGTCAGTTATCCTAGGTTTATTGTAAGACCTTTGTTACCTTCCATGTGTCTTGCCTTAACCAAGGCACTGCTACTAACTGTGTAATCATAGGGAGCACAAATATATTACAACTTTAGACTGGTGAAAGAGAATGTTATGCCTAATGCTATGTGTTCGTTGGGCTAGATGGAGCAAGATGAGTCTCATCTAGATCATCACTTCCGTGAACAACAAATATGACAGAAAACATTCACATCTGTGTAGTCTTCTTTAGTCCTTCCAGCTAAGGTCTGTCCTGATGAAACTATATTAGGAAGGAAAACTTGTTCCCAGCTTGTGCACAGTAGGCCTCAGCTGTGAGATGCTGTTAACTGAAGGTTTTCTTATAGCCAAGAGAGTAGATAAATCCATCACAAGTGAAAATCTTCTTGCTGTGCATCTTGCATGCTGAACAAGTAAAAGCCATGGTCTAGATGGCAGTCAGTACTGTAGCAGAATGCATGTGTGTTTATTCACGTCTGATTTGTCAGTGTCGTTTATTGTACGGGACAATATACTGCTATTAGAAAGAATCATGTAGATTACTTCTCTCAGCATATTAGATAAACAGTTTTTATATTATACAATATGTAAGCCGTTTTACATGAATGCTGTTTTGATTTCTACATAATGTCAAAAGCTATCTACCTCCCTTAATGGGCACTAGGATTTATTACTTAGGAGTTTAATAAGCAGGAAAACAATAGTTTCACCTTGAAAAGCAGATTATATTTACTAAGAGTTGATATTCTCCCCCTGAGAAATAATCAGGACACAGGAGCATTTCTGTTGGTTCCTTTTGAGGAAATGTTTTGAATGCTAGTGTGTAAGCCACAAAGGAGTTCCTGTAAATAGCATATGTGTGTATCAGACGCAGCTAATGTCTTCTACATAGGCAAGAGGCCTGGCAGTTTCTGAATTTCCCATCCATATTCATATTCAAATCTGCATATACTTTACAGTTAATGCAGGAAAAACAAACATAAAGTCTGAGCTCTGGCTATGGGAATGATTAACTTATCCTGTTCCTGATGGACCTTTTTACAAGCAACAGTTTAGGAAGATGCAAGCTGTATTAGGAGGCCTGATACTGGCAGTTGGCTGCTCTTAGCAATCATCTTTGCATGGGCCTCCTCTAATCTGTAAAGTACATCAGGTAAAGATGAAATACCATAACTTCCAGGACATTGATGAGGCTGAGTATCATGCTTCTTTTTCATAGAATTGAATATATGGTTGTCGTGGTTTAAAACTAGTCAGGTAATTCGTTCACTCACTCCCTCCCTTCTTGCCCTCCCCCTACTCCCGGAGGGACAGAGAGGAGAATCGAAAAGAATGCAACTCCCACGGGTTGAGATAAGAACAGTTTAGTAACTAAGGTATAACACAAATCACTGCTGCTACCACCAATAATAATAATGATAAGGGAAATAACAAAGGAAGAGAATACATCACCTCAGCACCTGCTGACCAATAACTCGCACCCCCAGCCTCACCAAGCACTGACTGATACTTCCTCCAACCCCGCAGTCTGCCAGCCCTTCCGGGTCACTCTCAGTTACCTCCTGGCCATGACGTGCTGTGGTATGGAATACCTCTTTGGTCAGTTTGGGTCAGGTGTCCTGTCTCTGCTGCCTCCCAGTTTCCCTCCTCCCTGGCAGAGCATGAGGCTCACAAAGTCCTTGGTCAGACAAAAACATTTGAGCAGTAACTAAAAACATCAGTGTTATCAGCTCTGTTCCCAGGCCGAAAGTCAAAACACAACTCTGCACCAGCTACTAAGAAGAAGAAAAATGACTGCTACTGCTGAACCCAGGATAATGGTATAGGATGAAAAAAAAAAGACTTCAACAAGTTACCTGGGATTTATTCTCTTCTTAGTTCTGTAAACACTGCAAACCACTTAAACTTCACTCTCCTGATTTGTAATGCCACTGGAATTCCTCAACAGAATTATTTTTCAGGAAGTCACTGTAGATCATTTATTACTGTACATAATGTGTGTTATAGGTATAATGTTTGACAAGAAAACTCATATTTCTAAATGCTTTGAGACTGATGGTGAGATTAATTTTTTTACCAGGTTAATTTAATACTGTTTTTAAATGAAGATGACATACAATTTATGCGTATTATTTCAGTAGCATCTACTGTATCTGTGTACCGCTGGAGCAATTTCCATGATGCAGCATTCTTTTGTGGTGTCTGAGCTCAGCAGCTGCTGTATCTTCCCTACTATATGATTATGTTATTTAGCTGTTTGTTTTCCTCTTAGGATTTGATACCAGCATATTGCCAATTTGCAAAGACTCCCTTGGCTGGATGTTTAACAGGCTTGATACGAACTATGACCTTTTGTTGGACCAGTCAGAACTTGGAAGCATTTACCTTGACAAGAATGAGCCATGCACCAGGGCATTCTTCAATTCTTGTGACACATACAAGGACAGTTTGATATCTAACAATGAGTGGTGCTACTGCTTCCAAAGACAGCAAGGTAAAAGATAAGAACAACCTGCATATGTATATGACTGACCTTTTTGTAGTGCTTTTTTTTTAACATTTTAAGATTACAGTGAACTACATGCTCTTAAATGCTGTACCATGAATTTGTGTTAAGGATTTTTGCCTCCCGGGAATACCTAAAATGAATTAAAAAACAAACAAACAACCCAGACTAAATGCAAAAGCTTGCTAGAAATGCGCTGATTCTAAATGAAGTGCAAAAGACTGACTAATGCTTTTACCGAAATACAGTTTCTTGTGTCAGCTTCCAGTAAATATGCAAAGAAAGGAGATCAAAATAAAGAACAAAAGTACTTAGATGGTTTCTTTACCAGTCTACTTGCCTACATTATAAATAAACCTTTTTCTTTTTTTTTCCTGTAAGAGGGCATCTTAATGTTCTATTTTGTGAGCCTATTAAAATAACTGAATGAATATTATGGATAAAGTTATTTTCAGTCATTTGGACAACCAATTCATTTTTACTACTTAGATGAATTTCTTGTTAATGTCTTGATGTGATTCGTCTGAACAAATAAACACAACCTAAAAGCAGTATTTTCATGAGGATCATATAACAATTATAGATGTAGGTGAGACACCACGTAAATTATGTAATTAAACTAGTTGTAGTCAATCAAAGAATTTAGTCATTAAATATTGGATGAACCTGCACAGAATGGCCCCTTATTTTTTCGTACTAACATGAGATTTTCAAAGGGATAAACAGCAAAATTTTAATTTCAGTTTTTAAATCTCACTTATGTTCTTAAAACTCTCATAGTAAATTCCCATTAGCGCTCAGCATCTATGGTTTGACTTTGATTTCTGTGGAAATAAAGATTTTTATCATGCCACATCTGCCAGTTGTAAATCTAAACAAAAATAAAGCTGTACTTCTGTGGGTACGTACTAAATAAACTTCTTCAGTAAACTTTAAAAAGTTAACATTTAATCATTCAAAACACCTTGTTTGTTTCATAGTAGAACAATAGTTTGGTTTTTCCTTTTATAAGCATGTGTGTACTGCTAATAAAATTAGTAAATGGAAAATAACCCATCCCAGAAATAAAGTAGTTCTTAAAGTAAAGAACATAACATGTTTTGTTTGGTTGTCTTTAAGATAAAAAAAAAAAAATAAAAACCCATCACCAGAATCATGTCAGCTTAATGTATGAACACCCTTACTCTTTGGAGGGCAGCATAATTCTTTTAAATTGTCAGAGAAAATACAGCACATAACATGTGGCCTAGTACCAACCAAGGTTCTTATACCAATAGGCTTTTCTGCCGATTTCGTATAATGCATATACAGCATAACCAGGGCATTAGGAAAGCACTTCCACAGATGAGTTTCATGTAGTTTTGCATTCTATAGCCTATAAATACTGTCTAAAATATTTTATCAGTGTACCACTAGAGGCCAATGGTGGTATTATAAAGACTAATCTAAAACACTACTAAATTATATTAATGGTACCCTGAAGGCTAAAAATCAGGGATCCGTCTTTCAGTGACACTGATTCTCCCCATTGCAGAATCCAACATTATCAAGCTTTTCTTCCTTTCCAGTTTTCTCACTGTATTAACCATGTTGTTTTGATAAGGTGCTGATTTAAACAGCAGTTTAAACACTGGTACTACAGTGTGCTTGAGTGTATAGTAAAAAATATGTATTCTCAAAATGGTAAATGAGATGAAATCTCAGTTTTGCCCATCCTTACATATTAAACATGTACTCAGTTCTTCCAGATTAACACTGTCAACAAAACCTGTATTGTCCCTCTTATATGAAGATGTAAGGAGGAAAAAAAGCTTATAGTCTTCTTCTGTCACATGTTATTATCTCTTGCACAACTATCTGAGTCCTAACTCCCTAGTGTATTAGTCACCTACTTAATTGCCTGTGTTCATGTTTGGTTATGTTTTACTTGATTGAACAACCTAAATAAGACCTTTAACTAGACCGTTGCTATTAATAGCAAAGAGACGACTAGGTAGAGAAATTCAGTGTCTTCTTTCTGATGTTTACTAAAATAAGTTGATATTGACAGAATGCTTCAAGCCGTTTAGACAGCTCTCTGTATTCCTTGAGCATAGTAGGTGCTTTCTGAGCAGATCTACAATTTTATAGCACTGCTGTTGATTAACAGTCTTCAAAGTGAATACAAATTTTAGTCAACAAGATGTATCATACTGGGATAGAAGTTCTGTTGTGTTTTTTTAAATACCCTCTTGCTTTTTGATCTTAGTTTCACTGTTCAAGACTGTGAGAATCAGACAAGTACTTGCAACTCTTCTTCATTCTTTCTTTCTGCTTGAGGTCTGACATGATGCATTGCAGTACACCAGACCTGTTACTACACATTACTCACAACTTCTAGTCGATATACACAGTTTCTCATGAATAGTTAAATCAGACCTTTCTTGCTCAGTATAAGATCTTCCTGTAGTAGCTGTCCCACCTTGACTAATGCTTAAACACGTACCACTCAGTGCCGCTCATTGCTTTTTTTCTTGGCCTTATTCTGCTTTAGGTATAGTTTAGTATTTCTGAGATACATCCAAGACACTAATTAACTTCTGCAAAATTTCAAGATCTGCATTTTGACAGTGCCCCTTTGCAAGTCTTCCTGTGCACTTTGGTCAGTATTGCCCTCCAGTTTCAACTACAGTTCACTTCAGCAGCCCTCTTCAGAACTTTTCTTAGTTGTTTGATGCTAGCTTAACATTTCAGTGGTTATGTGAATGCTGAGGCACTTTCAGTGTTGCTTTTTTATGGGTTGAATTTCTTTGTGCCACTACTTGATCATTGTTACAGCCTTGGTTTTATTGTGTCACTGCTTCAGAGTAGAAGAGTACCTATTTTGCTGGGAATATTAATTCTTAGAACCTAAGTATTTCTTTACCACAGGCCTCTGCATGGGTCTATTAGTCCAGCACTTCTCTAGGTGCCTTTTTCCTTTATGCTTTTCTGCCTACAAGGCTGGAATGCATCTCTATGACTTTAAAATTAGTCCATCTTAGAGAAGAATGATAAATACTGTGATTCATATTTGTTACACTGGTCTTTTCAGATTGCAGGAATTCAAATATGTTTATACATGGTTATAAAGGAAAGTATAATGTGCCTTAACTCATAATTGAGATCCCCAGAAAGATTTCTGGAAATGCAGAATTGATGCTTCAAATCCTGAAAGTCCAAGCCTTGTTTGTCCAAGAACAATTATAGTACTTGTTCCCAAGCACAGGCAAGGCACAACTTGGCAGCTTGATCTGCAATGGGCCATATGCCAGAAGCTGGGGACTCTACTGAATATTGCCTACTTGATAGATGGAAAATCACTGTTTTGTAGTTGAATAAGGCAAAGAATCTGTGAATGCTGGAGTTGCACTGTGTGGGTAGCAGTTCCTTGAGACATGTCTGTTAAAAATCTTAGACTTTCTTAGTCAGATCTACCAGTTTTACTCCCATTGCTCTGTTGATGTGCCTATTTTTGGTAAATCAAACCTTAATCATGCTAGCTTTGCAGCATCTCTTGGCACAACTGAATATTGATTTCTCAAGGGGCACTATTAATAACATGGGGTAGTCTGGTGTACGTCAGAACTTCGAGCACTGATGGTTCGTGAATCACTCAACAATGCTGTGTTATTGTCAGAGAGACAGTTCCTGCCACATCTGTGGAAGTAGATTAAGGATGAAGATGATTAGGTCTCAATTATTTGTCTTCAGATCATCAGAAAGACTGATGTCAGATTCATTTCTGTTTCAAAAGGAGCCACCAGACTGATTTTTGTAAAGGAATTCTTTCTCCTTGCCTCAAGACTCCCAAAAGCTGTCCAGTGACACTGGTTTTCTATTGAAATAAGTTCAGAAATCTCAAAGAAAGCTTTTCCAAACTCAGGAACTAACTGCAAAATAAAGAAGGAAGCAGCATGCTCTGAGGAGAGAGGAAAAAGGATATGCTGTAGACCAAAAGGAATTGGTTGAACTCCTAGCCTGTCATTCTTTTTGACAATTTTTAAGTACCTGAGTGATTTAGCATTGTTAAGAGGTTTTGATTTTTTTATCCTGAGAAGCAAAGCTTAAATGTGAATCTTGAAGACTTAGCTTCTGAGAAGAAGAGAGTTTCGGGTAAGTAACGTTCTCACATTGCCTTGTTAACTTTTGGTTAGTGGTATTCCTTTTTATAATTATACCACTGAAGATTTATAGCTATAAATTAAGATAGTTTTTCTTTAGGCATAGTCTGTCATTTTGACATTTCCACATTAGTGCTTATGTGTGCAACTCTGTGTTTCTAATTTAGGATTTTTTTTTCCATAGGAAAAAATATGTAGTTTTCCTATTTGAGTAGTTCTCTGTTAGGATATTTCCCATCTTCTTCGGAAGACAGAGTAGAGTAGAATCATTTAGATAGGAAAGGACCTTTAAGACCATCAAGTCCAGTTGTTAACCAAACACTGACAAGTCCACCAAAATCCTAGATCCTTGTAGCCCGTGGTACTTGTGTGCATAAATGACTGTCATTTTTTAGATTACTTATTAATTGGAAATGCCTTTGGTTTAAGAATAACTGATCCTCAGAATGTTGTACAATTAAGAGCTTAACTCTAAATACCAGGAAAGACAGAAACCTTGGTTTTGAAAAGTAGTGGACATCTCTAGCGTAATAGTGAGCATGATCACCATGAAAACACTTCTTAGAAGAAGAAATGTAAAAAATCATGTAGCCTCACCATATACTCAAAGACTAAATACTTAAGCCCCAAACCCACACAATTATGTCAAGTCCCAGTGAGCTAAAAACTTATGCAAGTAAACTCGGTAATACTATTGCTAATTCAGAATGAGAAATGCCTTTGTGCTAATGGTGTAGTGTAGAATGCAATGTCAGTGTTCAGATATTAGTCCTTTGCTATCTTTTATTCTTTCACTTATTTGGCAGTAATGTGTACACATTCATTTCTTATTTCCTTCACATTCATGAGTCATATTGTGGCTTGTTTTTAAAACAGTGGAAAATCAAATTGTTTGGAACTGGAGGTAGCTCTAACTGAAGAATGGAATATTGAAGTTTAGTACCTATTCTGCTTCTTAGAGCCATCTGAAGTTTGGCCACTGATTTTAACTTGGTTTGCTGAACATGGGGCTTTGTACCTATCAAACTGTTGCAGTAGAATCAGAATCTTGCGGACTTCAGTGGAGAAAATTTGTTAGTGTAGTGTGTGAAATACAAAACTTGAACATGACTTATAACAACGGCAAAAGAGAATTAAAAGAGACATCCTGTTTCTATGAATACATGAGGAGAGCTTCACAGTCATAGTCTGATTTCTGTAGTCTGATAAAATAGGGTGCGATAGAGTTACTATTTTGGTCTAGCATTCTTCCATCTTCCAAACTAGTGACTAGATGCTTACAATTGGGTTAACTGAAAATGGGCTTCTGCAAAGATCCTGGTGGTGCTCTAATTCATAATTCTGGAGCTGTAGCAAGGTGCAGTAATTCTTTTATTTCAGAGTTTAGAACATGACTACTAACACAGGATGTGTGTGTTTCTTAAGATCAGTAGTAAGAGTGACCTTGGAACATAGCAAACTGAAAACTTGGTCATATGCTTTCTTTCCTAGGTACAGTGTAATCTGTTTAACATTTTTTATGTCATTTTAGACCCACCTTGCCAGACAGAACTCAGCAACATTCAGAAGCAGAAAGGAGGAAAGAAGCTCCTAGGTGAGCCATAGATCATTCTTTTGAAGGTTTTATTGCTTACATAAATAATCCTAGTGAAACAGCAACATAAAATCAATATTAATCCAACAGAGATAGAGTGCAGTAAATTCCAGCAACAGAATTTATGAAATTTTTGAAAGCTATTAAACTTAGTTTTATTACCCTACCTACCAAAAGATATTACATCTGTTTTATTACCCTAATCGAAGGTACATTTTTACAGTTATAGAGGGGACAGTCTAAGGCACTCCTAAATTAGTATCTCTGCTGATCCTTTACCTGTAATATTCTTAAAGTAATTGAAATCTTTGTTGTGAATCAGTTCATACTGTATCAATATAACTTAAATATAAAATCTTCGTTTTACCATTGGACACTGTATAGAAGCTGCAATAGAAAGCTTAGCCCAAAGTAGTCAAAACTGTATTTGTGCAAAAGATAGTTCCTAATAACAACTATACACTTCAAAAAGCTTTCATGTGAATGTTTTGTTCATTGTGGTTTGTCTACCATGTTTCTTTCAAAAAGTCTCCGTTTGCTCCAAATAAAAAACAGTGGATTATTCAGCCTTTGGCAAGGCACTGCCTCACAAAATAAGTGCCTGATTTTGTTTCTTGTACTCCTGGTGGGGAACCCTTTTGGCTTAGAGTCTAATTTGCATAGGTGTTTCACATATAAATGCAAATTTAACATTCTTTTGTTAACATTTGTTGTTTATGAAATTAGTGTGTTACACTGCATTAGTCTTCTGTTGGGGGGTAATTAAATATTAGTAGGTAACTAAATGAATTGTAAAATATATATTTAAAAATAGCTCCTAAGCCTTGTAGCAGATAGTTTGTTAGATCAGAAAGCCTGGTCCTTATTATTTAGACTTGTTTGTATTCCTCAGATTACAGAATATCCCATTCAGGGTTGGGTCCTACATTTGAGCCTTTTCCAGAGCATTCAGTGAAGATCTTGACTGAGACGTTCAGGGAGTAAGGAATGCGTTATCACATCATCAATGAGAAATTTCAAGGAAGATTGGTCACTATTATATCTTGAGATCAGTCCAAGATTGATTCATGTTATTTCCCTCCCACATTTGATATATTCTGTCACTTTCTGCTTAACTGAATTCAGTAATAGTAATAGTAATAGTAATAGTAATAGTAATAGTAAAGCAGTCAGTGGAATGAGGAAAACCAGCAAAATGTAGTTACTTCTTGCTAGAATTGTTACATTGGTCAAGAGGTGTTTTTTAATATCCTTATTCAATATTTATATATCACAGGGCAGTACATCCCCTTATGTGATGAAGATGGGTATTACAAACCAAGTCAGTGCCATGGAAGCGTAGGGCAGTGCTGGTGTGTTGACAGATACGGTAATGAGTTGACAGGATCCAGAACAAATGGTGCAGCAGAATGCGGTAAGTTAAAAACTCTTTGTGGCATTTGGTTTACAGGTGTTTCTTCTTTGATTACCAGCCAGATTAAATTTCTTCAGTAAGAGCAGATGGGAGGACCAAGTACATGGATTTTGAAACAATACCAAATAATAATTTGTTATTGGTATTACTTCCTTATTTTTGCAACTCCTTTCACTTTGTCGGCTATTAAATAGACCTCATATATGTGCTTGGCATAGTGTATATAAACATAGGGAAAATCAATTATCTAGAACAGCTTTAGACAAGCCCCAAAATGCTTGATGAAATCCTTTTGAGTAATCAGCATTCTAGTGAATTAAATTTGACTTTTTGTGTTTTTTTGTTGTTTTTTTTTTACTTTATGTTTGAGGGAATTGGCAAAAGTTCCTAGCACACCAAATCTTCCTTATTTTTCCCTTCCCTGCAGCACTCTGCAGCTTCTGCCAAGAATTCCCATGTCACTTTGATTTGATGTCCCAGATACAAAAAATGGCAAAAGAAAAATTTCCTTTTTTAAGGAATTACTCCTTACATTACTCCTTTCCACTTCTTGTGCAACAAAGAACATAGCCTGAAACAAAGAGTGAATTTAATACAATGTTTGATTTACAAGGTCAGGCCTTGAGATTGTTCATCTAACCCAGGATCGTTTCAAGCTAAATGGAGAATTCTAGATAATTCAAGATAGTATGTAAGAACTGAATAATAAACAGTGTATATTTCATCCGTAAGTTGAACATAAATCTCTTTCATTTGTTCCTGATGCTCATTACAGTTCTACAAATCCATAAAATTTGTCTCCATTTGTGAACATTGAGAAATTAATCCCTGTTGAAGTGATTTTATTTTAAGACAAAAAGATCTTCGTCTTATTTTTCTTTCTATGTCACACTTTGTAGTTTAAAATAAGTAACTGTCCTGAAACGAAATACTCTGGTTTGCCCATTTAATGCTTATATATATTATGCAACAAATATGTAGTATGTCTTTTGCACCTTTTCTATAACTATCATACCTTTTCAGCTATCGATTTAGAGACTTCAGGTGATTTTGCCTCTGGTGATTTCCATGGGTGGACAGATGATGAAGATGATGAAGATGAAATAATGAATGATGAAGATGAAATTGAAGATGATGATGAAGATGAAGGAGATGATGATGTTGATGATGACGATGACCATGATGGATATATTTGATAATATTAGGGGCTCCATAATTGTACCTTTCCAAAATTCTAAAGATGACATTTCATAAAATCCCTTTGCTCTCAAAGATCAAAAGGATTCTAACAAACATGTATATTTTGTATGATTATTTCAAACATTGCAGCTGGAGTCATAGATTTTTTTGTTTGTTTGTTTAAATAAGAATAATTATATTACGTGCTTTTGAGTTTTTAAATGCCTTTGCGCTGAAGAAAACACATTGGAAGTCTAGCCTGAAGAAAGAAATGTAATGTGCTACTGAAAATATAAATGAGCAAAACACACTGTAAAGAAAACTGGTCTCTAAAACTCCAGTGAAAAGATATATGCCCTTACTTGGAGCTGTGCATGACCTCTTCAGAACACATACTGTGACTTAACTTTAGTTCAGTGTTTCAGGCCCCGTGGGCTTTGCAAATTGTCCATTTAATAAATCAAAAATGTTTTACAGTAGAAAAGCATTGGTGCACAAGTAGCATCTCACCAGCCTTTAATTAACCAAAGGTATGGAGATAAATTTTCAGGAGGGAAAGATAAAGCAAAGTCCTTCTTTGTGTTTGCGTCGGTAGTTACGTTTTTTTGTTTACAAAATGGCTAGGTTATTGAAAGGATTTTTCAAAAGCAGTAGCATGGACAAGCACCAATTCTGTAATTGTAAAGTTTTCATGTAATTTCTTTATTATTTTTTTCTTTCCTGTCAAGACTGTATAGGTGTTACCATTATTTACTCAAACATTGCTTCACCCTTTGTTGTTTTGCTGCATTTCTCTCTAATCAGAGTAGCGTAAAATATTTTACATGGGGAAAAAAAATTGCTTAAAATTATATTACCTTTATATATGAAAGTGGTTCAGAGTATTGGTACTAGCCCCAAAGTAGTTTTTAATAAATGTATAATAATACTTTTTATTTTCTTAATTCAGGAAATAGTTTTGCATCTTAATTCCTGTTGCTTTCTGTTACTAGGGCAGAAACTTAGAGAACGTATTGTAAAGGTGCCTTGCAAAATAGAAATAGAGAGGTTTTAGCATGCATACCAGTATAGGATGTTAGGCAATAGCTAAGCACACCCAATTACCAAATTAATACCAGTATAGGTACTGCTGCTGGAATGAAGAAAATGGGTTTGGTTTTGTTCTGGTTTTTCTTTCTCCTATTGTTATGTAATTACCATGTGGACTAGATTATAATTATTGTGTAGAGTAGCACTTAAGATTTGATTGTAGAGAAAATTACTTTAATCACTGTATTTATGTTAGCATGTTAATTAATTGTATAGACATTCTGGGACTCCACCATCTTTGTTCATATCATTTGTGTTCCTTTCTGCCCACAATAAAATTGACGTGACCTGTATAATGTAATACTACAGGTTGTATAATTTCAAAATTGGATCACTGGTTTCCCATCATTAATTAAAAGGGATATCAGTTTCTTATTTGAATTAATTTCTACACATTAAATACTAAATTTAATGTTTATCCTGTGTAATATTGCAGAGTATAACGCATTTTCTTTTTTACTGTTTCTGTATAGTTTGCAAAATAAAGACTCTTGTAACCAACCTTTGGCCAGTATAGCCCATCATTTTGAATTTTTGCATAGTTTGAAATTTTCAGACAGGAAGAATTAGTGTTTCACCTATTAAAAATGTATTTATTTGGTACATTTCATCTATTAAAAATGTATTTATTTGAATAAAGCCATTTATTAATGTTTTATTTTATAGTAATGAATTTTTGACTAAGGCAAAACCCGTACGAATCTTTTCTTTTTCTGTATTTTTTCCTGAATTTTCTGTAGCTGTGTTATGTACCACATTGTCTTTACATAGTAAAGAAAGGAGATAGTTCTTTTCAAACTCTGTCATAATTTATTGGGCATACTTATATTATTTTCTTAAATAAAAATAGTTAAGAGTTTACCATTCTAATATAGTGGGATTTTACCAGAGGACAGTTTCTTATGTCTGAAATTAACTGATATCTAAATTGATTTTAAATAAAGAAGCTAAAGAAAAATCGTTGTCAGTATTGGTTGATGTAGCAAGTACGGGGGGGGGGGGGGTGTGATGTGACAAATGGTCATTAGATGACAAACTGAAAACAGATTTCATTAAAACTTGTGATATTAGCAGAATTAAAGTATGGAAAGAGAACTTGTAATGGGTTTAGCCTTATATGATTACAATATGAAGGTCATTCTAAAATGAATTGTCATGTAGAAGAGCACGAAAGAACTCATATTCTTTCTTCCCTGAAAATCCCCCATTGAACTGGAAGAGGAGGGAATATGCATGTATTTTAGTCCCCGAGTATCTAAGCTACCTATCATAAAGTCGGAAGTATGTCAAGATAGCTAAATTTACTGAAGAACAGTGACAATGCCGATTCAGGGTCATTTTTTGAGGATTTCTGTGATCCAAAATTAAAATCAGCAACAGCACTCGGGTTGTTTCTCATTCATGAGGAAAAGCCAGAGAAGGTACTGATAGTGTGAGTTTCTTTGAAGACATTCTCCTTTTTGTCTATGGATTAATGTTATGGTGTTGATTTGCTTTTGTGATACCAAATGTACCAGAAACTACTCACTGCAGCATTAAAGAAATGCATGAGACGAGGAGCAGGTAGAATAAGTAAAGGCAAAGGCTGATAATATAAAAACACTAAATAACTAAGCCTTTCAGAAGGGGGTTGCTTCTTTCTGTCATATCCAAAACCTTTGCACTGAGGTATGTCCTCATGAGTACATTCTTTCAGAAAACAGTAGGGAGTCCTTGATTTTAAAACTTCATTATTTTTACAGTGTCACTGTCATTGGTTGTTTTTTTCCTGATCTTATAATTGTGCATGTGTGTATGTACTTAAAATATGCAGAGAAACTGATACAAATTTGAAGAGTTTCACACAGTGATTGAGTTATAATTCTCAATGAAATATAATTCTCATTGAAAATTAGAACTCCACACAGAAAATGTTTGGAGTTATAATTCTCAGATTCACTGAAAAGTACAGAATACCAAGTTCAATGAAATAAATCGTTATATAGTCATCAAAGGGAATATTTCAGTTATCACTGGGTAAGTAATTAAAATATCAAAAGTTTAAAGAAAACCAGTCTGCTCCTGAGGGCAAGTACCCTACTGGACATGCTGAAATAATAGGGTAACCCCTTGTCATGAGTTAGATCTCCACTGTCACTGTACAGGATGGGTGCATATTGCCAGGTTGTTAATTCATCCAGTGAAAAGGCAGTAGGAATGACTCTTTGAAGATAAGGAACCAGAGCAAGAATTGGAAACAGTTGCCTAGGCTAAAGGATGACACCTCCGCTTGAATTTTTTTGTTGTGTTTCAGATGCTAATTGAACCAAATCCTGAAAGTGAGGCTACTGCACAGCATGTGTCTGTCATTTTGAAGGTGAGTTTTATGTATAAATGTGTGTGCCATTTGTAAGAAGAATCTATGTCCTAACATAAGTAATAACACGGAGTATTTTACGTTTCTTATCAGCTTGACACATGACCCCATCAAAAAATCTGATTAAAACTTCAGACAAGGTTATCCAGGGGACTCACACTCATGTCTGTGACCATTTTTGCCAACATAGTTGAAATTTATCAAGTTAAAATCAAGATGGACAGAGAGGTGGCCCATTGTCCCTGTAGCCTTTAACATTCACAGCTGCTTTGTAAGTTCTGCAAGTCTGCTGAATTATGCATGAATACACATTCCTCCAGTTTGAGTCATTATAATACTCATCAGGCAAGTACCCAGCACAGGGCACTGAAGATGTGGTATGAGTATTGCTCTTAACATCAGATACCCATTTTTAGGAAGATTCTCAAGTTCCCTTTTCACAGTTTAGTTACCTAACAGGCTTAAATACTGGCACATTTTGGTGAGATTAAGTTATCTGGGGGACTTAGTCCCTGTGAAGAAGAGGAGGTTGAATCTCTTCTATAATGCTTCTGATTGCCATGTGTCTGAGGGGACTGGAGAGCCACACCAAGTTTTACTGAGTTTGGCATGTTAGAACATAGTAGTGAATAACAAAATACTTTGTTAATTTGTTTGAAAGCTATAAAAGACTACTGAGGTTTTCTCTTCTTTCAAAACAAACACAATGAAAAACACCCAGCAATAGCAATCCACAGTAAGAGTATAATTTTCCAGCCAAAATGATGTGATTCTTTTTCCTTATTTCTCAAGAATAATGCAGTTATTTAAAAGCATACTGTAATTCAAAATCAATTCAGTTTGAGCATTTTGCAAAACAGCTTTGGGGCTTGCTCAGTTTTACTACACTTCAGTGTATTTCATTGTGCTGCATTAGCGCTATGGCACTGATTCATGCTTTAATTCAAAATCTATTGGATGACGCTGTTGATCTGTTTCTTAGTTATAAACATTTGTTCATGAAGAAAACAGATGAAGAAATCTGGATATTATTTTAAAGATATCACAAGTATAAATCCAATTCCCTCAAAGTAAAAAAATTGCTATAAAAACATCATTGGTTCATATGAGGCATACATTTTAAAATTTAGGTTGAAATGGTTAAAATACTTACTGGTCTAACATCTGTGGCAGCCATCTGAAAAGTACAGTTGTACCTATATAGAAGTTTATGTTGGGAAGTTTTTGTGTTTGCTCAGTGTGTCAGAAAGATAAGTGCAAAGCTGATATCGCTGAGCTGTGTCTTCATTGTAATTATTTATGACCAAATGGTTGTCACGAGTTCATGTGTTAGTGCAACTCAAAATGAGAGGATACACAATGTGAAATGACACTTCAACAGCACAAGATGATGATGCCAGTCTGTTTCTTCATGTGCATGAAGAGAAAGTCAAATGCTGAGTAGAGCTGCTTCCTTCAGCAATAAGAGCTCTAGGATCTGTCACTAAAAATCATCCCAGAATGTAAGAAGGATGCTCCTTTGAAAGCAGAGTAGCTTAAAATGCATTGTCTAAGTAAGATTGATTGCTGTAAAGAAAACCTGCCAACGGTTTTAATTTACGCCTTGAAAAGGTACCTCAGTTTAATCTTTGATAATGTGAAGACAATTTTGTTAGTACAAAAAAGAAGTAATAATGCTCTAAGTCAGGCAAGCTCAAAGGAAAGCAAGGCAGGAGAAAAATTGGAGTAAAAGTGTTGGGGCAGCTTCTATGTATTTGAGTAGCTGTCTGCTCCTATCACTGGATGATAAAAAAGTGTGAGGATTCTAAGTTCATTGCTCAGGCTGCTCTTTTCCCTCACAATTTCCTCACATACTTGTTTTTAGTAGCTTTACTAGCTTTATACAGTATAATTCACATTGGAAATTCCATGTGAGTGCTGAGAGGATTTCAGCTCCCATAATGGGATTGTGGCATAGAGTATCTGTAGGAATTGCACCATTGGCTGGCCTGGAAGCGGAGGACATGTTGCTGGCACATTAGAAGAGTTCCTCAGAAGTAGTAGTTTATAGCAGATGTTTACCCAGATGTAACCTAGTCCATCCATTACAAATTCTTGCCTGGCTCAGTGAAAGGAAGTTGTATAGGATTTTTGTTTGTATAAATGGTAATTTACTTGGGTTCTGAAGTAACAGTGGAATAATACCATTGAAAGCTTTAAATCTTGTCCATTAAGATAGCTTGACTTTCATGTAGTACTACTTTAACTATCTGCATGGTAATTTTCATTTGAATCAGCAATAATGGCAGAAAAAACATTGCCATCTAAGTAAATTTCCTGTATCAGTTTTGTAAAGATAAAAGAAATGTCAGTGCTGGCACAAGGCAGCTTTAAGGCGGAACAGGTAATGAGTAAATCCCCTATTCACGTCTATGATTCATAGATCTGACTTATACCATAAGCACTAGCTGCCGTGTTAACTGTTCTCTGGACATATTTAGTTTTCAATTATTATAAGGAAGTGAGAGAAAGCGGCTCCTTTGTCCCCTTTCAAATCCTTAATATGTGTCTTTTACTGTTAATTGAAGGTCAATTTATCTTAAATTCTCTCCCATTCCACTGTTCCTTGAAAACCACAATATAACAACGAGAAAAAAAAGGCCTATTAATCCTCAACAGCACAGATAAAATTGCATAAAATTCCTATTATTTGCTGCTGTGCAGAGATAGGTTTTTTGTGTGCAGACAGGAACCTTGCCATGCAGCCCTCATCTCCTTTGGCACAACAGAGAATGCCACTGTTGTGAGTGAGCAGCGCAGGGTTTCAGACATCTCTACTGCCTGGCACATCTCATTTCTGTGTTACTCTTTATGCTCCTGTGCAGCTGATGCATAATGTTGAGACTTCACCACAGAGGGATCAGCTCTGCCACAAAGATTTACTGAAGGGGAATGGCTTAAGCCTAAGGGTCTTATGGTAGTGCTGCTGCTGCTTGGCCAAGCATGATGAAAGAAAGGTAAAGATTTTTCTCTTTTGCATAGTGAGGTTATGCAAACTGGATAGCCCCACAACAGTGGCCCCTCTGTGCTCTGTACTTCTTCGTAAGAGTCATTTGCTCTGCCAGGTATGTCAACTTTCTCCTTGTTGGATTAGCACAGAATAGCTAGCTGATTTTCCATTTTAGCTGACTCAAAAAGAAATAGATGTTGTGCTGTGAGATTTGTTTATATTTTTTTCTTCTTTGCATTTAAAGTGTTCTTCATTGAGCTGTTAGAAAAACAAAGAAATTATAGCAAAGGGGAGAAAAAACAAGGCAGAAGTC